TAAGATTTCTGTGTTATTAAATGAAAGAGGAAAAAGCAAGGTATAGAAAATATAGAATTTGAGTTGGGGAATTATAATAGCAGTTATTTTCTGAAAGATAGGTTTTTGTGCTGTTTTCTATTTTGCATGTTTCTGTACACAAATGTTTTAATGATAACTTAGCGTAACTTTTATAATTAGGATACAAAAAGATTTCCATTTTAGAGGAAAAATGTGTCTAAGGCCGTTAATTTAGGAAGTACCTTTGTACTGTGGTTGTGTTTTTCAAGATTTAATGTACTGTGTTAAATCTATAGGTTTAAATTAGTTTTTTAATTTGATAATTCGCTTAATCTCTAAGCATTCTAATGTGTATACATACTATTTGCAGTAACTTTGTCTTAACATAGTTTCTTATATTAAAAATTTTCTGTTATATGAATATTGAAAATGTGATATATTTCTTCTCTTCACAGAAACTCTTAGGTTAAGGATCTATGAGGGCAAAATATTTATAAAACATATTTGTTCCTGGAGTTTCAGGGAAATTTTCCTTTTTGAATTTGGCTTGCATTTTTTCCCTTGTAGTGTGTTAAAGACAATTTAAACCCTCTGAATTTACTACTTACTGGAAGCCTATTCCATGGAAATGATCCTGGGTTTTGAGATTTCTTGGGCTAGTAAATATTTTACAGTCATAGAGATGTGTTAAATGTTGCCTTTTTTGTAGCTCCTAATGGATTTTCAGAGACATGTAGTATTTTTTCCAGAGAATTTATATGAAAATGTTATTTTTGGTGTTCAATTGATACTTTACCTGTAGAAATAAAGTAATAATGTACTTGTACATTCTTTATATCTAAAATGCCATCACCAGAACTAAGGTGGCTGGTGTCTTAGTCTTTTTGTGCTGCTATAGCAAAATATTAAGACTGGATAATAATAAAGAACAGAAATTTATTACAGTTCTGGAGGCTAGGAAGTCTAAGGTCAAGGCTCTGGCATTTGGTGTCTGGTGAGGGCCCTATTGCTGCATCCTCACATGGTGGGAAGCAGAAGAGCAAAAAGGGCCTCAGCTATTAATAGTTCCCTCCAGTCCTTTTAAAAGGCACTAGTCTATTCCTGGGGGCAGAGCCCTTATGACTTCATCACTTCCCAAAAGGCCCTACTGCTTAATACCACCACAATGGGATTAAGTTCCAACATGAATTTGGAGGAGACATTTCTAGAGAAAGAATTATGGGTGAAATTAAATTTAGTCCTTAAAAATAAATTCAGGCTATTAAGCAGAGATCAAGAAGAGCAGAATATCTGCACAGCCAAGGAAACTATCATGAGAACAAACGGACAACCTACAGAATGCGAGAAAATATTCACATGTTACACATCCAGTAAAGGGCTGGTAACTAGAATCTATATAGAACTCAGGAAAATCAGCAAGAAAAAATCAAACAACCGTATCAAAAAGTGGGCAAAGGACATGAACAGAAACTTTCAAAAAGAAGATAGACTGATGGCCAAAAAGCATATGAAAAAATGCTCAACATCTCTAATCATCAGGGAAATCCAAATCAAAATCACAATGAGATATCACTTATCTGTAGTAGGAATAGCCTTTATCAAAAAGTCCCCAAACGAGAAATGTTGGCATGGATGCGGAGAGATGGGAACACTGATACACTGCTGGTGAGACAACCTCTGTGGAAAGTAACATGGAGATACCTCAAAGAAATACAAGTAGAACTACTGTTCTATCTGGCAATCCCATTACTGGGCATCTACTCAAAAGAACAAAAGACATTCTATACAAAAAGACATCTGTGCTGGAATGTTTATAGCAGCACAGTTCACAATCACAAAGATGAGGAAACAAACCAAGGGCCCATGAATACATGAGTGGATTAATAAAATGTGATATATGTATACCATGGAGTTCTACTCAGCCACAAAAAACAATGGTGATGTAGAACCTCTTGTATTATCCTGGATAGAGCTGGAACCCATTCTACTAAGTGAAGTATCCCAAGAATGGAAAAACAAGCACCACATGTACTCACCATCAAGTTGGTATTAACTGATCAACACATAAGTGCACATATAGTAAAAACATTCATTAGGTGTTGGGCAGATGGGAGGGGGGAGAAGGGAATGGGTATAAGCATATCTAATGGGTGCAGTGTGCACCGTCTGGGGGATGGACACACTTGAAGCTCTGACTCAGGTGGGGCAAGGGCAATATATATAACCTAAACACTTGTACTCCTGTAATATGCTGATATTAAAAAAAAGTCTAAAAAAAAAGTGGAAGAACAGAATAACTATTGGGCTAGAATGACTTATTTATGGGGAATAGCAGATTATAACATTCATTGAAATGGTAAGGAATACATCCTGGAATGTCTTCAGTTCTTTTCTTGGTCATGGGATTTTTTTTTTTTTTTTTTTTTTTTTTGAGACAGAGTCTCACTGTGTTGCCCGGGCTAGAGTGCCGTGGCGTCAGCCTAGCTCACAGCAACCTCAAACTCCTGGGCTCAAGCAATCCTTCTGCCTCGGCCTCCCGAGTAGCTGGGACTACAGGCATGCACCACAATGCCCGGCTAATTTTTTCTATATATTTTTTAGCTGTCCAATTAATTTCTTTCTATTTTTGGTAGAGACAGGGTCTCGCTCTTGCCCAGGTTGGTCTTGAACTCCTGAGCTCAAACAATCCGCCCGCCTCGGCCTCCCAGAGTGCTAGGATTACAGGCGTGAGCCACTGTGCCTGGCCGGCCATGGGATTTTATATAACTAGTAGAGAGCCCTAAAATATCTGTGATATTGAGGTAAATAAGCAACTAGAATATATGGGAGATGGTATTTTGTATTAAAAAAGATCTTAGTTTTTATTAAAAAGTCCTTCTAAAATTTGGGAATGATTGATTTAAACACAAGTTTGGAATGACTTATTCCTAGGAAATTCAAATGCCCATGTAAAAAGTTACTGTTATTTTTAGAGGTGATTATTAGAATCTTGAAAATTGTTGTCAATAACCCAAAATTTGACTCAGTAACTATGCTAAGAAACACATGTTTTGTTTCCAAAGAGGCTGTTCCATTTCATGTGAATGCCACAGTCCCAAGTCTATTATTAGGTTTACTGTTGTTTGGAGTTTGGCATTTACGAGACATTTGTATAATTCAGATGAGATCGGAATTCTGAATACCAACTAAAATGTGGATGTATTTAAGTAATCATTATGTTAGTGGTTAAGTTATTGAACCTAAAATGTCCCATTGAGCTAATAAAATTATTAGTCTGTTCTTTAATTTGAAGAGAATATAGGGAAAATAAATCTTGTTTATTCTCCCTTTGATTCTTGCTCTTGGGCAGCAAATGGGTGAGTGTAGATTATGAACTAAAGATGTTCTTTGACTATTTCTTTCTCTCCAGTAAGGTATAGAAAGCATATATTTGGGTGATGTTCTCCAAAGGGGAGTGCATGCATTCTACATCATTTTTGTGCTAGAAAAATATGTTAGAGCTTCTGTTTATGTGTAGACTTATTTATGTGTGTACACACACATCATACAATTTTCTATATGCTAGGCTATTCTGAGCACTTTACATGTAGTAACTCATTTAATCTTTACAACTTTACAAAGTGTGTTATTATCTCCTGTTCACCTATGAAAAAATTGAAGAACAGAGAAGTAACTTGCTAAAAGTTATGGTTACTAAGAAGCAGGCATTTGAACCCTAGAACTCTGTGACTCCAAAGCCCATGCTCTTAGTTAAGAAAGTAAACTTTATTAATATTTAGTACATGTTTCATGTAAGTCCATACAGTTATGTGCACTTTGAGACAGTTTCCTGAAGTAAAAGGGGGTATTCCATAATGCAGAGTTTTTAATTTTCTTTCAGTTTACTTGGGCATATAGCTGTTTATATGTGCATGGTTACAGATTTATGGATTTTATTAAATGGGCAAGGATTACTGCAAAAAACAATGTGAACTAAGAGTCTCCTACAAATGCAATCTAAATGAGTGAGAAACCTGCAGAGCTGATCTTTCTCCTGTGCCTGATACAGACTCAGCCTTGTAATAAAGTTAAAAACAACTGCGATGCAAGTGAATGTGACAAGAAAAACAGACTTTTCAATTGGAACCATTTCTCTACATCCAGAATGTACAATGTTAATGATGCATCTCTTGCCCTATGCAGGTAGTGCAGTATTAACCAGCGATAGAACAAGTATAGGAATTTTAGCCAGATAGGTAGTACACACACACATTTAGGGTGCAAAGGTGTGAATATGGATGGGGATAATTCTTACAGTGCCTAACTTAAGATTTTGAAACATTTGAGGTAGCGATCGATAGAGAACATTTACATTTGCCGTCACCGTGGAACGCGCTAACAGATCTGCTTCTCTTTGGCCTTCTTCCTTTCTCCTAATTTCTTAGCTATTAAATTAATTTGAGTTATATACAGATGCTCCTAAACTTATGATGAGGTTAAGTTCCAATAAACCCATTGTAAGTTGAAAATTTTATAAGTCAAAATTTCATTTAATAGGCATCACCTATCAAACATCATAGCTTAGCGTGATCCACTTTAAACATGCTCAGAATGCTTACATTAGCCTACAGTTGGACCAAATCACCTACCACAAAGCCTATTTAATAATAAGTGTGACTATCTTATGTAATTTATTGAATACTCTACTGAATAAAAATGGAATGGTTGTATGGGTATTGGATATACAGTTTCTACTGAATGCATATTGCTTTTGCACTACCATAAATTCGAAAAACGGAAGTAAAACTCTTTTGTCCCTGATTTTCTCATTTTGCCAAGTCAGTTAAGGCTGTGTGAAAATTATGTGGTTTTGCTCACAAATAGGGACTCATAATTTCTCTAGAATATAGTTTGTGTAATGTCCTGCAAAAAGTTTGTGTTTTTAATTGAATACAATATTATGGTATTATCCATGGGGTAGAATAGTTATTATATATTTATATGTGTGTTGGGTCAAGAAGTTTAACTCCATTGCAAAATGCTGTGTTAGAAATTATCTTTTGTTCTGTGAATCACTTAACTTTGCAGAATGTGACCTTTTTTTTTTTTTTAATAGCAGAAGTTGTCTCAGTCCCTTTGTGCTACTGTAACAAAATACTTGAGACTGGGTAATTTATAAAGAACAGAAATTTGTTTTCTCACGATTCTGGGGGCTGGGAAGTCCAAGATCAAAAACGCAGCAAGTTCACTGTCTGGTGAGAGCCTGGGTCTCTGCCTCCAGGATGGTGCCTCGAATACTGCTTCTCTTGCAGATTAAGGCTTTTGTTTGGGAGGGAGACATGGGGTAGGTGGGTCTGGTCAGATTTCAGCAGTGGCTGCTTTTCTCTCCCCACCAGCTCCCCAGGGGAAGTGGTTTCAGTATTCTTCCTGCTTTTCCCTGTGAACACCTGGGGGTTAGGGGGATTTTTGCAGAAAAAGCCTTTGAGAAGCTGTCAGTGCTCCTAATTAGAAGGTGGGGTGGGGGGGCTTCCAGGGCTTCATATTCTCATGCTGGTTCACCCTTGGCAATCAAATGCTTGAGCTTTCTTTCTCCCTGCAGGTGCCTCTCTCCAGATGTTGGGTTAGTTTTTGCCCTGGGACTTCAACATTAATTTGCATTCTGCCCAGCTTTTTTATTGTCTTTTAGCTCTCTACATCTGAACTGAATGGGCAGTTCTTGGAATAAGGTAGTTTTCACAAATGGAGAAAAATCCGGAGTAGCTAACATTAAAAGCATGAATGTGGTAAGGCTAGAGAGGTGAGTGAGAGTGTTCTCAAGGAGGGCCTTTCATGACAGTAGTAGGACATTTGGACTCAGATTCTAAGGATAGTTGAGCTGTGTGCATTTTAAGCAGAGTTATAATAAGGTCCTCTTGTGTTTTAAAAGACATCTCTGTTGATTGAAGGAGGTAGAAGTGAATGCAGAGAAAGGGCTCTGGTGGTCTGGCGAGAGGAGATGAGAGCCTAGACTAGGGTGATTGTGGTAGGGCTGAAGAAAATGGACAGATAAGAGATGTTTAGAAGGTAATACTATTAAGATATAACTAATTAATTGATTGAACATTTATTTAATGCCTTCCCTGCACAGCTTTTGGAGATAAAGCAGTGAATCCAAAAGGCCTAGTCACTACCCTCACGAAGTGTCAGGCTTCGGGCTTGAGTCACTGCATGGATGGTGGTGCCATTTGCTGGCTATGGGACTCTGTAAGAAGAACACGTTTGAAGCTCTGGTGGCAAAGGTTACAAGTTCAGTGTGGAGTGTTGAGTTAGAAGTCAGTAAAGCATCCCTTTGTTAGACTAATCAACTTTTTGGTGAGCACCCAATTGAGGGAAACCCTTTAATGGCAACTGTGACATGTTCTTGAGGCTTAGTTGTTTATGAAATGACAGCTTAACTGTAATTGTTCCCCAAGGAACAGTGTCATGTCACAAATATAGTTTAGATCAATTAAAGCCAGTTCAGAAAGGCATTTGGTCATTACCAATGAAGAATATAATTATTGTAGCTTATACATTTTTCAGTGAAACTCAGGTATACTTACTGTGTGTTGTTCTGCCATCTTCATAATCACTTGTTTCCTGTTTAAAATTGTAACATTTGTTGTTTGTGTGTGTGTGAGAGATACAATAATTGGCATCTGGAGAAATATCATTGGTCTTAGAAATGATAGTACTTTTATTTTCCACGTAAATGAACAAATGAAATTATTAATAAATGAATATTAATGAACAAATGAATTTATTTGGATAAATATAATTATTTTAAAAGTGAACGTTAAAATGCGTTAAATTCTTTCTATCTTACAGATATAGTTGTCAAACAGACTTAAATAAGAGAGACTTTATTTGAGAAGATTATTGCAAGAACACAGAAAGGGACTATGGCAGTAGGGAGAGGAGGCTTTTTACAGTAGGGAGAATATACTGACCTGTAAGTTACATTTCAGAGGTCAGACAGAAAACGGCTTTTGTCTTATGGGGAGAGGTGAAGGAGGCCAGAAAGGTATGGGGAGGTGGGATGAATGGGTGGCAGTGGCAGGATAGGACAGTGATCAGAGGACATTCTACCCTGAGTTTTCCAAAGGGGCCTTTGGAGAGGGCTTGTCTGCTGGCTCAGATTGAGGGTGATCAAATTTTAGGGGCCTGGAGAAAGGAGAGAATCTGAACTGAAGTTTAATCAAGTCAAGATATGTGTCTTTTTCTGACTGATCAGTGGAGACAAATGGTTCAGCTAATCTTTAATGGGAAAAAGAATGGGAATTCGGAGGATTTGCTAGGGGTAAATAAGGGGTCATCTGCGAGTCTTACCAAGTCACAATGGCGAAGAGCGGTCCTTTGTAGTAAGCTATCTCTGGGAACACAAACGGATGGGGGTATTTCTTAATCATCACTGTTTTTCGGGAGCACAGGGCTCCTGTAAAATTCAGCATTGTCACAGCACATTATCTGATATTTTAATCTTGTTAACTGAAGAAATAACAAGGTTCATAATTTGGAAAGGAGAACTTTATTTCTCATAAAGTGTTGCATGGTGGCCATTCCAGCAGGCTGGAAAGCAGGCCCGCAGCCACAAGCCAGGAACATGTGCTTTAGGTCACGGACAATGGGAACAGGAATTTATAGTGAGTGGGATGGCTAAATATACATATTTAACAAGCTATGGAAGGAGTCATGAATATTAATGAAAAGAGAAACAAATACCTGTGCAATGGAGCTTTCTGCCATTTTATGTTGTCCATGTTCAGAAAGGGCTGTCCTCTATATCAAAAAGGTGAAACAGGGACACAGAAACTCTCTTAGTTCATGCTCTGTTAAAACTACTTCATGATTGGTGTTTTATCAGGAAAGAATGCTAGTCTGGCCCTTAAGGAAAAGAAAGGCTGATTGCCATTATCAAGGGAGGGGGCAAACTGACGTGTGTCTAACCTCCCACCCCATCGAGGCTGGAAACTCAGTTTGAAGGTTTCCCTGGGGTTCTCTTAGCTGAGAAGGGGGTATGTTCCATGAGAAGGGAGCTTAGGATTTTATTTGTGTTCACAGTGTTCGTAAGGACCCTGAAAAGCAGTGAATTTTGTAAGCCACACAATGGTGAATATGGTGAGGGCTGGAGAGTCTAAGAAGCCTGCTGTGTTCATGGGGCTGGTAAGAAGGAGCCTCCATATGACACTCACTCAGAGGTCTATAGCAAGTGGAAATTGGGGTGTTGTAGGACCAACGGTAAATAAGAAAACTGTGCTGCTTTGGTTGTTTATTCTTTACATCATCTAGAGAGGCCAGAAAATACTCAGTCCGTCTATTACTTAGGCCTTTTCTTGTTGCGAGTGCTGACTGTGGCTAGCTTAAGGGATTTTTTTGGTCTTGTTCTTTAACTACATTAGTGTATCCTGTAGAATCCATGGAGGAATTGAACTTGCAAACTGAGAGGACATTAAAAAGGCTTTAAGCCTAAGAAATAGAAAACCTGTGGCTTTTCTCTCTAGCAGTATTTCTTAACAGGGGCACAATTGACATTTTACATAGGACACTTTATTGTGAAGGGCAGTGAGTGCTATCTATTTGTGATGTGTGACATTATAAGCCTTTGCCTACTAAATCCCAGTAGTGACCCAGTCATTGTGACAACCAAACAAACATGCTAAATGTTTCTAAATGCCCCATAGGGAGGTGATGCAACCTGTAGTTTGAGAACCTGACCAAGCAACCGAGCATATTACCATTATTGTGACTCAGCTCTATGGATGTTCAGTATCCACACAATTAGTTCTAAACCTCAGGCTCCCTTGACTTCCAGTCAGAGGCCAGTTCCTTGACCAATTTGGTGGGGCTGGGCCTGATCATGTCATCTTCAATGTGGTGGCTCCCTTGGTAGCCTTATAGATAAAGGGGAATCAGTTGCAGGAGAAGGTGGGTATTTTTCAGATAAAGTTACACATGTCCACAGTAGTTAAATTCCTTAATTTATTACTTACTAATTTGGCATCAAATGTAACAATTTACCGGCTGCTCTGGTGGGCGATTTTTATACATTTTCTTATTTAATTCATATAGCAGGCACCCACAGTAGGTAGTATGGTTCCTGTGTTGTAGATGAAGAGTGAGAGTCATGAGAGCTAATTTGACTAGGGAGATGTAACTAGTAGACGGTACATGGTTGAACAGAGTTAAGAAGAAATAAGGGGATAAAAGTGTTTCTGATTGTCAAAGTATTCATTTATATACTCTTTGTGAACAAAAGACTAATATAAGTTAAGTAGAGAAAGAAACCCCTAAAGACATATAAAATTATTTAAAATGCTTTTCCTTTTTACATAGAATCCTATGTTTTTATGTTTTATCAAG